TTACACAAAAGATCAACTGTTGGCTTTGTGTAAAATATTGCATTAAAATAGTGATTCACTGGAAAAAGATTTCCCACAGTCAACATGTACCCACTCAGGTCACAAAACCACAAATTATATCAATAAGGACAAAGGAAGTTGTTATTTTAGTTTTTGAACAGTCTTGATTCCTATTTCCTATCATTTTGTTTGGGGGGAGATAAGACACTATTCTTAAATAAATGATTAAACAGAACTGCCAGAAACTCTTCAAATCCTTAACCCAGTATTATCAGGAATAAATTCGTAGTGGGAATAAGTTATGTTTTCCTGCTATCCAAATTCTTTTTCCATGCACAAAGTTTGAGAGTGATATATCACATCATGACCTGACGATTTTTTTTAAGCCAAAGATGAGAAACCATTATTGTAAAACCTGTTTTTGTGGCACAGTGCGATGATCACCATATTTCAAAAGGATCTCAGATGGAGCTTCTTGGTTCTTACCCAGTAGTGGTGGATAATTTCTCTGAGGTTTGCTCAGTAGGAAGCAACCTGTCTGTTCCAATTTTTCCAGCCCAGAGAGGCGTTTTGTGCTGCTTTCACAGCTGAGGCCTGTGGCAACTTGCTTCCTGGGGTACCCAAAGACTGGTGAGATGTTTGTGATCACCAACAGGGATGCTGGGGATGCTACATGCCTGGATTCTGACACTGAGTTTACTCTCTGCAAGGCTACTGGGAAGTCCTGTTTGTCATTTTTTTTATGTTTAAAAAACTATGAATATATACAAAGCTAAAAGGTTTTTTTAAGAGCTGGTCTTAGAAAGAAAGAAATCAATTAGCAAAATTGATACAGCTTTTCTCTTTTTTTTAAAATGTTTTTCATACAATGTTAAAAATATTGTGTGGTGTATATGATTTTTCCTCCTTTTCACTTCCTTTTTTCCCCACATAACACATGTACTCTATGCATGAACCAAAAACACAGAGACAGGAGATTGTTATGCTCAGTCTCTTCATGCTGTCAGTTTCATATTCAGGAGAGTCAAATGGTTTCCCTGCCTTTGGCCCCTGTTAGAATCATGGAATATTTTGGGTTGGAAGGGATATTTAAAGGTCATCTAGTACAACTCCCCTGTAATGAGCAGGGACATCTTCAACTGGATCAGATTGCTCAGAGCCATGTCCAACCTGACCTTGAATGTTTGCAGGGATGGGGCACTATGCTAGGCAACATGTTCCAGAGATTTACCACCCTCATCGTAAAAAAACTTATTCCTAATATCTAATCTTAATGGATGCTCTTTCAGTTTAAAGCCATTAGTCCTTCTCCTGTCACTACATGACTTTGTAAAAAGTCCCTCTCCAGCTCTTTTGTAGGTCCCTCTCAGGTACTGGAAGCTGCTATAAGGTCTCCTAGGAGGCTTCTCTTTTCCAGGTTGAACAACCCCAACTCTCTCAGCCTGTCTTCATAGAAGGGGTGCTCCAGCCCTCTGAGCATCTTTGTGTCCCTCCTCTGGACTTGCTTCAGCAGGTCCATGGCCTTCTTGTGTTTGAGGCCCTAGAGCTGGACGCAGTACTTTAGGTGGGGTCTCATGAGAGTAGAGGACAGGGGACAGAATCACCTCCTTCGAACTGCTGGCCACGCTTCTTGTTATGTAGCCTAGAAAACAGTTGGTTTTCTGGACTGAAAGTGCACTTTGCTGGTTCATGCCCAGCCTTTCATCCACCAAACCTTCCTTAAACTTCATGTTAAGTTCCTACTTAATTTTCATGTTCTCTCATACTTCCTTGGCAGACCTCAAGATCCTCCAGTCTTGAAGAAGTTTCTTCCCATCTGCCTTCCGAAGGTGGGAGCTGACCTAACTTTGGTCATATAGTAAGTGAGAGACGTGTCAGGACTTCTTCCATGCAAGTAGGCCAGTTGTTTCTCCTCTTTCTCTTCTTCTACAATGCAGAATTTCCATTTCCTCTGATCTGGGATATTGTTTTTTCCCTAGATTTGTAATTTGCAATCATATAGGCAGTTATCCGAAGGATAATGTAAGGAGAAATTTAAATATTTACTCATAGTCAGAGTTCGCTGAACCCATTTTCTTCAACTTGAATTATACACCCTGGTAAGATAGATAGAACTAGTAAAAAAGATAGAACTCATGGAAACTACAAATTCAGAGTTCACACTTAAAAGCTTTATTTATATCGTGTAATGCAAAGTGATTCTCTGTGGGAACAAATTTATTGATGCATTTTTCCCCTGACTATGTTTTCTCATATCCTAGAAAATACATATGTATGTATAAAATCAAAAGTTGGGATGATATACCCAGATCTGTTTAAATTTTTTCCTGAGAAATGTTGGGTAGTTAAATGGAGCCAATGGATTTTCAGAGATGAAGTCATGCTTAATGAAAAGATGAGTTTGCTTGTAATTTCTTCAATGACTGCAGATAGTACTGAGGCAGAAAATAATATTTGGTTGGATGTTATCAGTGTTTGGAAAAGCAAAGGTTTGGGTATGTCTCTTGCCCTTCTGCCCCTGTTCAGTCTCGTAAAACTCATGTTTCTTTTCCTGGAGATTCTCTCTGCCCAAATGGATATACCTAGTTTTATACGAAACTTAAAAAAATTACTAGGTGAAAAGCACATATTTTTAATTGTTACCTGGCACCTGAATGTAACAAAATGTGTCTCTAATCAGACACAAAAATAAAACCCATGAAGTTAAAACCTCCCTAATTATTCCCGTGCAACTGAATAAATCCTTACGTCACTTGCAGCAAGCAAGCAATGTGCTTGTCTTTGAGTTCCCACTACACTAATTTTCGGATTGTTGAATTTAACTACTGCTTGCTGGGTAGAACATGTTAAAGGTGTCCTTTCAAGGAGATTATTTTAATTGTTGTCTTCTCTACTCTGAGCAGAGGAGGAAGAAAATTTTTATCGCTATCCTAACAAGGGATAGTGAAGCAATCATGGATTTTGTTACTACAGCTGTGATATAAGAGGACTGCCAGCAAACAGTTGCGCGTGTTTTAAGACATTGCTACTTCTCATCTGGGGGGTGGTATTGTGTCCTTGTTGGATGCTGCCATTGCAAAGGTGTCCAGCAGGGAGAAAGTGGGATCACTCAAACAGCCTTAATGTGGCAGAGGCTGAAATCCCTAAAAACTATTAGTTGAGATTATCTAACCACCCTATTAAATTCCATAGGGAGAAAAGTGGATCTAGACAAAACTGTCGCATCTGGCCTCACCATAAATGGATGAAATGTAAACTAGGCTAGGGAGACGAGACTATAAAGGGGAGGGGAATGGCATGGGGACCCGCCCTAGAAGTTGAGTAAGGAGAGGGATGCTGGGAGAGAGGGACAAGTTCCTGGTTTTCCTATATGGGCATGTTTCAGTTCCATTATCTCCCTACACAGCCAATCCATTGGAATAACCTCTCTCAACTTGGAAACTATTTCTCATCCTAAATTAATCAAAGGGTAAGTGTGTCATACCTAAATACTAAGGAAAAGGTATGAATCAAAGATATGCTTTAGCTCCTCACCTTGGTCCTGCCTGCCAGATGCCTATGAAAGTCCTATTGCTGGTTTTTATAGCCATAAAATTAGGACCCTCAGCTCTGTCTCATCTCTGACCTGCCCATCAGGTTTGGGCTGAAATGTGTTATTAGGCAACCCCCTCTTGTCACCCTCCCCTCCAAATTTTAGCTCTCTTTTAAACCTGTAGATAGAGCCATCATCTAGGAGACTGGCTTGGGTTGGAAGGAATAAAGCTCTCTCTTAATATTTCTGAAAAAAAAGCAGTTAAGAGCTTGAGGCAGGACAGAAAAAGCAGAATTAGAGACATGAAAATAGTGTGCACATTTTTGTCTCGTGACAAGGACAGGTGAGTGACCTCCTCTGTTACAGAGGGAGCTTCCTGTGTTGGCTGCCAGGATGGTTCTGCCCTCTCAGTTTTTAAATTGATGGCGATTCTGATGTCTGAAATCACTGCACTTCTAGGTACATTACCAAAACACTTGGTTAAAAGTCAACAGAATGTGTCGTTTTTGAGCACACAGTCAATAGGAAAAAAATATCCATGCATAACTGAAAGTCTGTGACATGCTCTGAGGTTAACTGTGAGTACAGTTAATAGAAAATAAATTAATTGAACTGAGCCTTAAGTTTTCCCTATGCAATCATGCAATCTTTATACAATTTTGTTAAAAATGTATGCCGAGTTTAAGAGAAAGCAGGAGAAGTGGACGACTTTAGTGTCTCCTCTTTCACATGTATTTAATATGTTTCCCTCAATGCTACTTTATAAGTTACTATTTTTGCAGCTAGAAAGTCTCACCTGTTACCTGATGGTCATAAGAACTGAGTGACTCCACTTCTGTACGTGTAACACATGAACACAAGAGCAAAGCAACCTGTTTGGTTTTATTTTACTTTTTTGTCATCAGTTCATGACATTGGGGGGAAGCTACATGTGCTGTCTATCTGGGGAACTGGACCTGCTTACACAGGTCCTCTGAGCCTGAGAGGTGTCCTGCAACCTCTGCTGCTGTGTCACTAGAAGCAGTGCCGTCACATCATTGACGATCACTTTGTGAATTGATGGCTGGCAGGTCTCATGTCACAGGAGGAGGTCAAGGGGGACTGTGACAGTAACCTTCCTCTTCCCTGCGTTTTGAGTGCAGAGAGGTGGCTAAGGACATGTCCTGGTCTGAGGGTGCTGTGCTGGCTGCCCCTGGGATAGATGTCTGATGTTCAGTGGCAGTTCATCAACATCTTTTTGTTATGGCAGACTCATAGCAACTTGGCTCTTTTTCTTTTTGCAGGCTGGTTCTTTGCACACTTAGTGAACAGGCAGGAGTTTGCAAAAGCAAAAAATTTGTGTGGAGCAATTACAGAGCTGTTTGGTTGCTGGTGGCTATGTGCCCGCTCCTGGTGACATTGCCAATAGAGCTCTGTCATCAGCAAGTTTTGCTACAGGGGCAAATACACTTTCTCTTAATGCTTCCAGGTCCCAAGAAGACAAGTTGCACTGGAACTCCAGCAACGTACTGTCAAAACCACCTGCGCTGATCTTTAAGCTGAGATTTCTAAGCACCTGAAACCTACCCACTGGGGTAGAAGGCTGTTTTCTCACTGTTTTCTGGTGAGACTCTATTTTTTTAATCCTCTAGCACAGTTCTGTATGGAGCAAATACCAAAAGCTAGTTCGCAGTATAAACAATACATGAAAAAATATGAATAGAGAAGAAATACAGAGTTTTATGGAAGCCATTATGTTTTGTTTGGAGATGATGTGCTGTGCCAATAAAGTTTAATGAATATTGCATTTTGCCTTGTTCATAGAGCAGGATGAGTGTAAGTCACCTACCACACACATTTTGAGATCGTAATCATTATACATGTTCAGTAGGCAGTGTGCCATCCCACTCCCTTTTTCACTGTAAAATAAAAAGCTCTTTGGATTTGTACCTACTGTTCTTTCAAAATAATTTTTGACTTATTTTACTCCAGTAGAAAACACCTTGTAATAAAGTTTTATGTTTTAGCTAAAGGAAATAATGCAGATCTCAAACCTAGTTTGTCAGTGAGTGACTTGCATACTAAGTCAGAATTATAGAACAATAGGGTTATTTAAACAGGGAAAAATGTGATGCTGATTTTCTTGTAGCTAATACTGAGTAAATCTTGTCTGCATGCAAAATATTACATAGCTCTGTATTTTTTGCATTGACATCTGATTTCTAGCATTGTGTGATTATATAAATACACATATTGAATAAGGATTCCTTCTTTAAAACCTTTGGTTTATGAAGGTACCACAGATGACTTTTGATGGTGTAATCCCCCTTTAAAACAGATCCCATTGAATAGAACTATTAATGACATCAGGGGCATCATACTTGTAACTTCAGAAAATATATGTATACTCACTGCGCAAAACCCCTTCCTGTTTTGTTTTCAGCATTGGTTATGTCACCCATTAGTATCTATTTTTGTTGTGAAACTGTGTCTCTTACATATCCAAATACTTTTTTTCCATAAGGAAATGGATAATTTGCATGTACAGTAAGTGAAGTGGATAAAGACTCATTTTTCTTAGTTAGGCTCTGGTTTTAGAAAGCTTGTTACAAAACCTCGTTTTATATTACACGTCTGGATAGCAATTACTTTTCAGGATATTTGTTTTTTATTAGTTGAAAACTGAAACAGAGTAGTGAAAATTTCTTTTTTTTCCCCTCACAAGCTAATCCTAGTTCTTTATATAGAATTATAATGAAACTGTTAGTTATAGACTAACTTGGTGTTTTTACTTGCTGCTAATGGAATTTTGTTTGTGAGATATGAGAGATCCTTTCAGTGGTCATGCTATTACTTTTTTACCCACTTCTGTCATAAACTAATGAGTAATTTTAGTTAATGCAGACTGGCTTAGTCATTTTGTAAGTATTTCAAGCTGTTGCAAGAATGACACAGCAATGTTAGTAATTAACTATGCCAGCCTTAACTATGCCTTTATTTGTATTCTGACTAGTAACTCAACTAAAAGTTCCTAGTGATGCTGCATTTCGGTATGTATCATCTCCAATGCTCAGCCATTCCCCCAGGCCTGGAGATATAAAGGCTTCAGTTGAGAGTGTCCAAAAAATTAATTGGACCCTCTCAGTTTTGTGCTTTATGTCACTGCTACTGAAGAAAAGAGCAAATGGGGAGGACTTAGCTTGTGCCTTGTCTGGCATTGTATGACATTCTGAAGTTGTATTTTTTTTATTTGTGACTCAAAAAGGAAATCAATCAATCTGGGTTAAGAAATTCAGGGATTTGGGCTGGGTAGCAATTCTAGCATGGCTCATAATAGTTCACAAAATTAGCTTAGCAAGAAGATGTGCGTCTGTGAAACTGTGAAGTACCTGGGTTCGAGGTAGAGCTGGAAGAGAAATCATTTTGACAGAAGAGCTTGTAACAGTCCAGCTCACATCTTCAGGTGACGGCAATGAAAAGAACCATCAGTATTGATCATCTCAAGTCCTTATAGCCTGAGCTCTTGCACAGTGAGACATCACCTTCAGCTCCTCTTTGCTGTGGAGATCCTGTGTAAGCACAAAAGTAAGGACAAATACAGAAGAGAAGATGGAAGCAGAGGTATAGCCAGCTGTCCACAGGACATCAGTAAGTGATTGTCCTACATGTAAATCCTGGGACCACAGTTTAGGATTTGATACTGAAGAAGTGGAATGCTTGGAATGAGCACATCTTAACATTTCCAGATAATTAAATCTCTTGGGAAACATTAATAATATTTCTCACGAATTTTGTGATGTTTAAGGGAAATTAATTTTGCTGTAAGCAGTTTTGCACATTTGTGCAATCGCATTATAACTTTCATGCATAGAGATACCTAGTAGGAAATGGGATAAAAATATCATGGGATGTTTGCAGCTGATGTTTCCAGAATTGGTCTGCATTTTAATGTACTAATCTAGTTTTCATAGTTTAAAAGAACAGCCCCCCCAGATACAAGATGGCCTCATCAATTATCTGGGGGAAAGATGATTGACCTTTGTTTGCAGTTCTATCTCTTGAGTGTTGGAGGCTACTTTAGTGAAGCTTCGTTTTGCTTTTTTGTGCCAGCAAGGAGTAAATACCAAACCAGATGCTATTTTTGCTACCCTGCTACTGGCTGCTGCCCTGCTCTACTTCTGAACCTATTGCCCTGCCATTTTCCCTACGCCTGCATAAATGACTTGATTTTCCTCATCCTCACTCTCTCACTACTCTCCTCCTTGAGATAATTGTCCCTTTGCTGTTCAAGTGCTGTGTTGCTGAGTACAGGGGCTAAGAGCAGGAAGATTTTTCTTGCTGAGCTTCATCTGTGGCCTAAAAAGTACTTGTGTGATGGAGGCAGAGTAGCAAAGGTAGCAGCAGCAGGAAGAAAATATAGGAACTGAAACTTAAGGGGAACTATTGAAAAGAGTAGTGATAGAAGCTCAAGCTATTTCATACTAGGTTACAATTCTAACCACTGAAGGAGAATCCTTTTCTAATCATGAAGTTTTACAAAGAATTCCACATTTTCATTACTGTTCTGCACCCTGAAAAACAGCTCTGAGCCCTAGGTGTTTCTTGAGTACCGTCTAGGATTGGTCACTGCCAAGGATATCAGTCTGCTTCTGCTGGGAAACGCTCTGCTAACTCAAGTGGCAATATATGTGACATGACTCTAGTTTGCCTAATATTGTTGTAAAACTATTGATGAACACTGCAGGGATCAACGTGATTCCACATGTTTGAACAGCTACATTTTTTCTGGTGATTACTCCCTCCTCCTCTAAATATAAAATTATATGTAACACCCAAAGTTAAATAGTTTGATTTTAAATTTGTACTTATTCCGAGAGGAAAAGAGTATATGATGGTAATTCAAGCAAAGCTGTAATGTATAGGTATAAGGAGACTGAATTAAAGTTGGACAAGGTTTCTGCCTTTTTCTTAAGTTAGTCTGATGCAGTATAATTGGCTGAAAATAACTAAAAACTCAGCTGTGAGCTTCTATACACCCCAGAAGAAATGCCTATATATCTAAGTACTGAAGGCAAAACACCAGCAATAATTGCATGAACTACAAAGTAAACAGACTTCATCATAAAGAGAAAATTATAGGTTAGCATCTGTAGTTTTTTCCCCCCTCTGCTTTTCTGCACACCCTGCACTCTGAAGTGTCTACTTCTTATCTGTGGGTGCGGTGCATTTCCTACAGCAGGAAAAGTTCTTCAGGGTTTGATGTCATGTGTCACAATAATACCTTCTGCTGCTCAGCTGCTGTGAATCACACCCTTAAGTTTGGAACACAGAACTGCAGGATTCCCAGTCCCTCTTGCACACAAGCCCAGCTTAAAGAGTGAAATTTTTGAATGGACTGAATTAAGCATTCAGATTTGAAGTTACACTGACACTTGACTTTTGGGTTAGATTTTTTGCTCCTTTCCCCTCCAACATGAAGAAATCACTTTTCTTTTAGATGACATTTTTCACAAGCAGAACCCAGCAACATTTCAGACATCATCTGCCAGTAGGGCAGCTGCTATGCAAACTGCTACCCTAAAACAGGTTAATTTGGGAGGGTTTTTTTATGAGTGTCACATCTAATGCCTTGCTCCTTTCAGTTTTACCTGCTCAGAGCTCAGATGGGAGTTGTGATTAAAAGCAGCACAGATATCCAAATCAGGACATAGGGTGTGCATTGGCTGACTGACAAGGTTTAAGTAATCACCTGCAGTTGAATTGAGTCTCGGATGGGAAGTAGGAAGTGCTGTACTCAAGCTTCCTGTATAAATAAATGCAGCTTTCCCACAGCTACTGCATACAAGCTGTGACTTGCTTTTAAGATATAATGGCAGCATGCTCTAATAGCAGGGAGGAGATGATTTATCAGAGTGGCAAAGGGGCTGAGAGACAAGTCCTGCTGCAGTCCTAAAAAGTATACAGCTGCCAGATACCCAGAGAAGAGGAAGGGCGTGTGAGAGCAATCTGCCTCTGCTCCTGATTGCAAGCTTCAGGGATTTGTGACACCGTCGTTCTTGGGAACGCTGGAGCCTGAGTGCAGCTACTGAAAAGTCACACAGCTAGCAGTGAATGCTACTCTCCTTTCAAGGTATGTTGGAATACAGCTTTCTGTCTATTTTTTCCTTAAAAGCAAAGGATACTCTAAAAGAACAGAAGGCCAGCATTTGCTTCTAATGGAAGAAGGTAGAAAAGGCATTAAAAAAAGAAAAAGGAGTAAGGACTAGAATGATTAAACAGCTAAAATAAATGTTATTTGTGATTTGTCTAAAATCAGACTATGTGGTGCCTAGAGCTAAGGCAAAAGGAAATCCTGGAGTTGTGACTATTAAAGGCACAGAAAATAAACAGACATCAAGTATTCCCCAAAAGGCTGAAATTACTTTTGTCAGTGTAACTTTTAAAGAAATATCTGTATGGAGTGTTTGAAAATGCTACAGTATTAGGACATATCTTGTGGAAGGCAATTGCTAAAATGGCATATTGTCAGTATGTTTTAGTTTAAATACAAGAACTCATTTCATACTGAAAAAATACCTGATTAACCTGGAGGAAGCCTGAGTTTAAAACACAGAGGTTTCCTCC